AATTAAAATAACAAAACAAATGATTTTGTCTAGTTAATAAAATACATGACTTGAATTTAATATAGGAATCTTGTCATTGAAATGAAATTCAATATTATGTTGCTAAGAAAATCACAGTCTGTCTCCATAAAAAAAGGATGAAGTTGTTGGGTTATGCTTGTTAGAGCATTCCATACAAAACCAATTGACAATGAGTAGAGAGACCCCTCACACATACAAACTAACTTTCGGTAATTCAAATCATCCGATGTAAGATACAAGCTCTCTTTTCACCCTCCTTCATATTGGACCTTGGCTCGCACGTGGGGTTAAGAAATAAACAGTCAAATATGCATATTGAGAAATGCAAATGGGTAAAAGATTTGGTCCCAAACCCAATTGATAATCAGTGGAGAATAGAAATTCTCTTTACAAAGATATCTTTTTTTATTTCCAAGGTACAACTGGATTTCTACACTCAATTTAATTAGAGATCATTACAAATGTTCCTAGATTGGGACGATCAATTAAGATCTTGCTTTACGATCACTATGTTTCTTTGTGTAGATATAAAAAGAATAAAGTGTGTAGATATAAAAGGAATAAAGTGGACATACAATAGCATTTGATGTTTTAATTGTGGATTATAAATGTACTATTCACTCCCTTATGCTGAACTTGTTTGTATTAGAGTGGAAGTGCATCAAGGCATGCTTTTGAGCCTCATTATTACAAGCTTAAAATCAATTTTCTATACATGTTTTTGAGACATTTGGGACTATGTTATCTTAACTTCCAAATTTCAATTCATATAAATGTCAATGGATATAGCGTGGGCGGCATAGGAACCACGAACCCTCTATTAGTAAAGGAAAAGGTACATGTGTTACTGTGCACCAAGAGCGTCCCAACATAAATTGGGGTCTAAAGCGAAAATTTCACATGAGACTCCGATCAATATTTTAGGAAGATAAAAAAAGTTTATGATTATTAATTATTTTACAGAGAGTTACGGTATGATTTAGTTTGAATGTTTTAGTGACTTTGGAATTGGACGAAATTAAACAATAAATTTGGTGCAATTGTGCAGTCAGGATGTTACAGAGAAATAAATTGATTGGTATCTTAAAGAGAGAGCTAGAGATAAGGACAAAGAAGTCAGACAAGATACTAAGAGTGAAAGGGAGAGAGACTTGGACAGAGGTAGTAGGAAGGAAAAAAGAGTGAAAAAAATTTGAGAAAAAATACTACTTTTAAAGCTAGAAGTCTTTACTTTTAGGCTTGTTTAGAAGACATTGTCATATTTTAGGGCTTCTTATAAGACTTTACATAAACTTGTGAAAATGTTGTTACATTCTAGTGTATAAGACTTTACATAGACTCAAAAATTTTTTGTATAGTCTTAAACGGACTTCTCGGGCTTGGTTTGAGAAGTTCTCTACTGTGATCTTCGACTTGGGTTTTTTGATTATGATTCTGCTCTTTTCATTCGTTCTACTTCTACTGGTCAGATTGTTCTCCTCTTATATGTTGATGATATGTTTATTACTGGGGATGATTTCAAGGTCATTTCAGTCTTGAAGGCTCAGTTATAACAATAATTTGAGATGAAAGATCTTGGTTCCCGATGATATTTTTTTGGGCATTGAAGTGGCTTCATCTTCTTTCTAAGTCAAAATATGCAGCGGATGTTATCCACAGAACCCATTTTACAGATTCTCGGACTGTTGAGACTCCTCTCGAACTTAATGTGCATTACACTTTTGCTAATGGGGTCCCTTTGGCTGATCCTACCTTTTATCGGGTTTTTGTCGATAGCCTAGTCTATCTCATAGTTACACGACCTGAGATAGCATATGTTGTTTATGTTGTGCGTCAATTTGTCTCTTCTCCAATTACAGTTCACTGGACTGCAATTCTTCGCATTTTACACTATCTTAGGGGTTTATATCAAAGTTTGTTGTTTTTTCCATTTCTGCTATGGAGTTTCATGCTTTTTCTGATTCTGATTGGGCAGTTGATGCCATAGATCGTAAATCCATCACTGATTTTTATGTCTTTTTGGGTGATTTTCTAATTTTTTGGAGGAGCAAGAAGTAGACCGTTGTTACTCGTTCTATTTCTAAGGCTTTATATCGTGCTATGATTATATCTACGTCGGAGATAGTTTGGTTGATATGGTTGCTTGCTGATCTAGGTGTTTCCTTTTCTGGTCTTACTCCTGTGTATTATGACAATAAAAGTGTCATTCTGATTGCACACGACTCTGTTTTCTATGAGGGAACCAAGCATATTGAGATCGACTATCACTTTGTGTCACTATGTTCAGCTTGGGATTATTTCCTTGCCTTTTGTTTCTTCTACTATACAGTTAGCTGACTTATTCACAAAGTCCCATGTCATGTCGCATTTTTATTTTCTCTTTGACAAACTCTTGATGCTTCCTACTGTCACATCATGAATTTAAGAGGAGGTGTTAAGAGTGTAATTATATTTATTTATCATTAAGGGTAATCTATTCTTTTCCTTAAATATTTTCTCTTGTACTCACTTTTCAGTATTATGAATATTAGAATGCCGCATATGATTTTTCTCTTCTTCTGTCCTTTTTACATGTGAACTCTTTTCTTTGCACTAATTGATTTTTTTTTCAAATATGTGTTAATCCATATTTTATGTATTTTATTTCAATTTGTCAAAAATCCCGATGGACCAGTATAAGGTGGTGTCATAGTAAAAATGTTCAATGTTATACTATGATGTTGTATATTTTTTGTTATTGGTAATTTAAGTATCTAATATATATTATACAATGCATATGTGTTATTTCATACACATGCTATATGTATTCAACTGTTCAATAGTACAATTCATATGAATTGTAAATATACATAGATCATAACTAAGTACATCTTTTTTAGTAAGCAGATCTACACATCCGTTTGTCTTTCTCACCTCTTGGTTGACCCGCACTTTTTTAAATCTTTTATGTAGCCCATCAAAAGTAGCTTTGATATACTTTGAGGTTCACAACAACAACTCTAAATGAAATTTTTATTTTTATTTTTATTATTAATTTTTAAAAAATTCTCACTTTTTGAGATAGTGATTATCAGTAAAGTTTTATATTCAAGTCACATAATTAATCCATTTAATTTTTTTAATTTTATGAGATTTTTTATTATTGATTTATTTAAATTAAACCTAAATTTTTTTGTTATGTTATGTTATGTTTGTCACTAATGACAAATATATTTAAAAATATTTTAATAGAACTTCAAATAGTTTTTAAAATTTTCTCTTTCTCCAAAACTTTTCATATACAAATATTTGTTTTCTAATTGTTATATTTACAAATCAACCAAACACTTTTATAATAAAAAAATATTACTATATGAGAATTAAAAAAAAATTATAAAACAATAAGACTTATCTTATTGTCATGACCCACGAAATTAAGATATGATATACGAATTATCTCCTAACACCTCCTATTAGAAAAAAAAAATAGAGAAAATTAATAGATTAATGTTTTATGTGTTTAGTTATTTAGAAAAGTACTGGACTCGCAATATATATAAAAGAGAGAGAGTGGAATTGAAAGGGGAGAGGGGATGAAAATAAATAGTTTAATTTGTGTTTTAATTTTAGACAAGAACAAAAGTATAACTAGAGGGAGAACGTGTGTTTGAGCGAAAGAGGGAGAGAATGACTAGTGATGTCTAATGTATAATACTTTTTGCACCTTTTCAGCCTTATTTTTTTTTTGCCAAATTTAATTTTGTGCGTCATTAGGCTGGACTTTTGAGCCAAAATTATTTAATTAAGATTTTTTTGTTAGTTGAAATATTGATCGAGTTTTTTGTTGGAGTCAATTTTTATGTGTTTAAATTTTTTGAATGGATTATGTTATAGACCTATAAATTTGGGGCCTCTTTTTTAATTGCGCCTAAAGCCCATGCTAGCCTTATGTATGGGCCAGTCTTGCTGCGCACCAGCCTGAAAAAGTCCTTTTCCTTTTGAATACTAAGAAAGTAAGCTTCATAGTTCCTAGTAAAGGAGCTTTGATGCCCTTTGTATAGGTTGGGTTGCTTGATACGAGATCCTTGTAGTAGGTTGGACCAACATCCATTCGATAGTCAAATGATCATCCGAAGATGATCTAGGGACCATGAAACGTAGCAATTGTAAAGGGATACATATATGACAATATAAACCCCAGTGTGGTAAATGAAAAATATAGGTGGATATGGTTATAGTTGCCACGATAAATACATACATATGTGGAATGACTTGTAACCCTGGGTATGATTTAATACCTAGTGTTTGGAGTGTTGGTTATCCTCCAAGGATTGTTGAGTGTTTACTACTACATAGAGGGGGTTGAATAGGTTAGACAAAAATTATCACCAATTTCAAATTTTGACAAATTCAATATGAGCAACTCAATATTTATATCATCAATTAATTTTTGATATCAATGAACTAAGAAACTGAGTATTTGTGAATTGATGTTTGTGTTCCATAATGGACTTAGAGGGGGTTGGATAGGTCGTGTGTAAAATGAATTGACTTGAAACTAATTTTCTTGACAATCAAATAATCACACATGAACAAACATAAAATCGCATGCAAATATCAAGAAACTAGACAAAGATAGACACATTGATTTTTAAGATGGAAAACCCCAAGTTGCGTAGAAAGCCACAAGACTAAGTCCAACCTATACTAATCCATTATTGAGATCAAAAGATAGACACAGCACTAAAACTCCCACTAGAGGCACTAGCTTGTAAGCCATACTCTTGTCTTGTACCTCTCATGACAAATCCTCTCGCCGTTCAACTCGCGTCCAACTTTGGCTCTTCCGATACTGGTTTGGATCATGCTCCCTCCTGGAATGCTTGCTTGATTTTTCTCTCAAACCCTTGGAGAAAACTCTTGTGATTCACCCTGGCTCTCAAAGAAAACGTTTTAGGTTTAAAGGTCTTGCTAAAGCTCACTAAGAAACCTATGATAACATGAGGTATTAATAGTTTTACAAACCAAAACCTTAAATTTTACATAAGATGAATAAAAGCAATGTACATCATTCGAACACAGCCCAACACCATTTGTACCCCCTAACAGAATTGTTTTACTGTTCAAATGACACACATCAATGTTGTTCTCTGGAATTCAAATTGAAAAACTCCACAAGACTGCATGAACTTCAAGATATTCGGACATTGATGTTTACAATTGACCTTTTTGTTTTTTTGTTTTTGGTCTGTACCTTTTTGTTGTTTAAAACCCATTTTTTGTGTTAAACATCGTAGTCAATACAATACAGACACTTGCAGTATTGGGGTTCACTATCAGCACACCTATTCAAATATCACCACATATATCTTGTGTTTTCACATTAGAAAATGGTGATTAGTTTGCTTGAAGATGGAGATAGGAGCCGGTTCTAGATGATTATCTTCATTTTTTCGTCATCTTCTATCATTATAGATTGAGTATTGAAGCCCCATGCATACATTCAAGCTTTCTATATATATGTAGACACAGACGGTTTGACATATGCTGGGGAAGTACATATGAGTGTTTGAGAAATATTTTGTTGAAATTAGAGAAATGAAGTATTTTTGAATTACAAAAGTAGTTGTCATCTTCCATGCTGACAGATAGGTCTTGGTTATTTAGTATTTTGTTAAGAATGAGTTTGACTATTATGTGCCACTGCTCTTTGTTATTTAGTATTTGTAAGGGTTAGTTTGATTCAATGTTACTTGGATCGTGGATCGATTTGGTATGTGAGTGCTGTAATTCTTTCAATTCGTGGTACGGTGGTGGTAGGCTTAGTTGATATGCTGCTTTGGGTTGTGGTTTCGTTTTGTAACTTCTATGTGGAATAATATATGCGTATACACGTAGTTAATAAATATTTATTTCATATTTCTTATAAATATTGTCAAAATATGAGTTTAAAGAACACCAAAATAAAGAAATAACAAGTTGGAGATCTGATTTGGGCTCGGGGTTATGACGTGAGATCACTTAGATCATGAATCAATTTGCGGTCTGAGATATAATTGGGGGTCAGGACTTTGAGCAATATGGATAGTGAACCCACCCTATTTTGGGTTGTGCGACCCTGGTTCGTGGGACGCGAGGGGCATCTACGATCTCGGTATCTATGGTTTGACTATTATGTGCCACTGCATGTATCCATTTGATTTGATCTCTATTTTTTAATTATGTATCTTTGGTCTGAGATATAATTATGTGCCACTGCTTGTATCCATTTGATTTGAATCGTCCATATAGCTTAGGAGATGAAGATTCTAGAATATTGATGGAGGATAGCGCAAGGAAAAATACACATATCCATATATCTGTATAATATGTTAATGGATTTTCTTTGCATGTTTTTATGAAATCACACTAATGGTCTTTATTCTTTTCCAGGTATTACAGGTGTGCCACTACAGGCATACATCTTCATGGGGCCAATTTATTACCAAAAGTTGAAACACATGGTGAGACTTAACTCGTCTGCAGCCCCTGCTTTAAACTACTTGATCGTTGGAAAATATGGATGTAGCTTGCTCACTTTATGCAACAACATTTGTCAATGATACCTTGTGGAATGGAAAACAATTACAAGAACTCATTGATATTCTGGCTCAATCAAGGCATCTTTGTTCAAGTACCATGCACTACCTAATGATACTCTAGCCTGAAGTTTTTTTTAAGAGATCCTGAAGTATATAAAGTAACAACATGAAAATGCTGACTGCACAATAAGCAATGAACACCATTTACAAATTTTTAAGATTGATGTAGGTACTATTGCACTATACTGCTAAACTACTGCATAGTAGCTGAATATGAATGTTCAGTAAAATGCTAAGTACTTCTGTTATACTTTCCCCAAAAAAAAGGTACTTCTGGTATGCGAAGGAAGCCATATATGTGCTAACCCATCATCTTAATAATCATCATTGCCATCATCATACCGAACATTCTTCTCTTGCCAACTAGTTTGGCTGTTGCTACTTAAACAGTTACATATTTTAAATGCACAAAAGCTATTCCAATTAGATGGTACTGAAAACATGTCTCAACTTTTGACTGATATGTTTCCCAAGACAAAAATGAGAACAAGAAAATAGAAAAATGAAAAATGCAAACAAAAATATAGCTTCATCTTGATCCTTATAAGAAATAGCAAAGTGAAACATGCAAATAGCCAAAGGATTTAAACTTGATCCTTGAGAACAATGATTGATTGAACTATCGTAGGTTTCCATTGCACACTTATAAATAGCCAACCCCAAGGAATGCCACAATGGCCAATTTTCCAATCCTTAAATCTTGAAACTTTTTAAATTGTGATTTGATTCCCCTGCTTAGATCTTGGTAGAAGACTGGTAAGAGTGCTTTTGATGCTCTTTGGTAGTTGGTAGAGAACTGATGGTGTGGTTTGGGGCTAAAATGGTGAATCTGTTTTTGGTTTTAACGGCTTATAATTCCCGAGTCCTCATGTATGCATGACCAATATGGCTTCATCAGTCAAGATAACTTGTGAGTTACATATGTATGCGGACAAATTTAAATTTCAGGTAATCTGTCAGCAATCGACAGGACACACGTGAAGACTCTCAAAAGAATTTAAAAGTTCAGACAAAGGTTCGTGTGACTCTATTATCCCAACCATTTGGAACCCCATCAACTCTACCTGTGAAAGGGTTCCAAAACAATTCAGCATTACCTCTTGGATTATCAGAACCTTTCCTTTGATAATTCATATTTTCTTTGTAAAGTTTCAATATTTGTGTCAAGATTCAAGGTTGAGATCTCTCAATTTTTATAATTTTTGTCTAACTTAAAATTAATTACACGAGGTAGATGGAAGAGTAGAACTAAAATCCTCCTCTTCATTAACTCCAATGGAATCTACTAATGCTCTATCCTGGGCACCTTACTCTTCCATTCCATATGAAGCAACCACATTTCATCCATAGTACTCTATCCATAATTTTTGTACCTCCATAAAAAATTGATCATAAACATTGAAACTAGTTGCTCTTTTGTATTTCTTGATATTCGATCTTCGCTTACTCCTCTTTTGGATTTTTTAAAAAATTGATCATAAACATTGAAACTATTTGCTCTTTTGTATCTCTTGATATTTGATCTTTGCTTACTCCTCTTTTGGATTTTTACTTTTACTAAACCATACATAATTTAAACCATTTTGATCCTGTGACATCTATCCAAATTTTTAATTTGTTGTTAGTTCCTATTATAGTTTTATCAATCAATATTATATCATCATCAAATAACACATGTCGTGGAACTTGTTGAATTTATACAACAAATAATCAAAGAAAGAAAATGCAATGGAAAAGAGAGAAGTAAGAAAGACAAAGTGGGGCTATGAAAAGAAGAGTTAATTAGGCTTCTCTCCCTTGTAAGTGTATATCAATAGTGAGTTAATGTCCAAAATACAATTATACCCCTTAGCATAATAGAAAAATGAAACATCACACTTTCTAATGGAAACATCATCCTAAATTTGTGTATTTATTTCATCTATAACCATGATTGAAAGATTTGGACTAAACATAGATGCCTGATATAAGCCTATAGTGATTATGAATCACTGGTGTCACTTATAGTTATTTTCACTAGTATCACAACAGTTTTGGACATGTCCTGTGTACTATCGTATACACAGGACATACTTTTTTTCTGTAAGAACAAAAAATGAATCTTATTGGTACTGAAGTGTTATTTCTCAACTCATTGGGCATTTTTTATAGGGTGAATGACACTTTGCACCTTGAAAGATTCTCAAATTTACCTTGAATGATTAAAATTTTCATGTTGTATCTTGAATAGATTAAAAAATAACAATGCAGTCCAAAACCGAATGTTTGTTGCCTTTTTTGATAATTTTTTTTGTTGTATTGGTTGTATTATTCAAAATCTATACTCAATTGTTTGTTTAGTACTCAATGTTGAGGTTTTTACATGAACTTTTGTTTTCAATTTTCTTAAAATTTAGCATTTTGCTATCTTTTTATTTGATTGAGGGTGCAATACGAGATTTTCTATCTTTTAGGGTGTAGATGGAAAATGCAAAGATCCTTCGAGGTGTAAAGCGTCATTTGCCCTCTTTTATATTCTATAATCTTTTTGAATTATTTTATTAACTTATATTCGATGATATCTCTCATAAACACTTTTAAACCTCAATGGTGATGCAAAAAACTTGATGAATAAACTTTTTCAAGTTTTAGGTATTCGAGTTTTACAAAAAGCACTTGTTTTCTCTAATCTACCACGAATAGGGGTGTTCACTCTACCCTACGGATAAGAAATATAGTCTTCCGTCTTCCTACACGATACTTTGCGGAAGAATTTTTTCTTGAACTATCCTACCTGATCAAGTGTTGTATTCTTATTCGACTTCCAGCTAAATTAATCGGGTAGAAAGTCGAGTAGAAAATCGGGTGAATACTTTTGTAGTTATTAATTTTTTGATCATTTTAACAATTTAATTGAATAACATGCACCAATTTAATAACACAATAAACCAATAACACTAAAATTTAAAACAATTACAATAAAACACAAGAAAGTTTAAACGTCAATCAATCATAATTGTTGCACAAATACAATAACAATTATTTTAAGTTTAAATCATATAGTTAGGGAATTAGGGTTTTTAGTTTATATATATATATATATATATATATGTATTCCTATCCGATTTTTTCGGCTAGCCGTTCAATAGGGTCGGATAAGGTCGGGTAGGGTAGAAAATTGCGGCTAATCAAAAATTTGAACACCCTTAACCACGAATATTATATTCTCCAATACCTACGCTTCCTATATGATATTCAATCCAACAACTTCTCAAAGTTAGCATCTTGTACCAAGACACTTGAATCATCATTTTTTAATACACGAGGGTTCTGATATGAAATGAGTAAATGAAGGAAAACTGGAAAACTTACATTGAAAAATTTTTGCACACAAAGATTCAAGGAGAAATGTACATCACGAGTGGAATAATTACATTGAAAAGTTTTTGTGTCAAATCATATCAGAATCTTAGGTGTTGAAGAATCTAGTAACCATAGAGAAAATTAGATTTTCTCAACTAGGATGTCTAAAATAGGGAATCCAGTTAAAGTAGCACCATACATCCTTCTTAGCATGTGTCTTCATACTCTTGAGCATTCAAACCACTACGAAGTTTAAGCATGTAATGTTTTATTACTAAATTCAAATAGTTTTGGTTTCATGCCTATGTGTGCGGATGAATGTATGTATCTTTTCCCTGATATGCCAATAATGTTCATTAGTAGAATCTCATAATTCTTGTTTATATATGATTTTTTTGTTTATCATATGATGTCCATAAAAATCTTACAAATTTATCAAATGTATCATATCACTTACATTGCAATTGTAGAGAGATCATGTGTCACAATGATTAGTACCATCCAGGGTTGGTTTACATGTTAAGGGGCCTTTTCACTCATTGGCAATAGGTTTTTGGTTGGAATTAGAGTTGGGTTTTGATGGTAAGTGGTGCAAGTCTATTATGCATCTGAATTTTCTAATATGCTTGCTTGTTTGTTGGCCCTACATGTGAGCTCAAGTTCCACTTTAGAGAGTTCTTGTACCCTACATCGAATGGTCAGGAACATTCAAGATTGGTTTATATGGTTAAGGGACATATACTCTCATTCTCAATTGGTTTCAAGTTGGATTATTTGACAAAAAACAATATCTAAATGTAGTTACCGTATGTATGCATTGTTAGAGCACCCAATTTGAAAATTAATTGACAATGAGTGGAGAGGCCCTTTAAACATATAAACCAACCTTGGTTGGTTCTAATAATTAGATGCGGAAACTCTCTTTACATTCTTCCTCGTGTGGCACCCGAACTTGCATGTGGAGCTAATAAACAAACTAGCAGATACCTATGCATACCGAGAAATAAAAATGCCTAATAGACTTGACCCACTGACTACTTAAGGTTTGGCTCTATTTCCATCTTAGAGCATCCAATTGAACCAATTCGCAATGAGCAGAGAGGTCCCTTAAGCATATGTATCAACCTTGGGTGGTCTTGATCATTCAATGAGGGATACAAGCTATGTTTGTATCATATAGGAAACCATCACATTCCTAATGCATTCACTTTTGCCTAAAACAGACTTCCACCATTTGATGCAAAAAAATTGTCATATAATTTAGACAATAAAGTGAAATATGCCTATAACTATGATTCTTTGATCTGCCTCCCCCCCCCCCCCCCGGCGGGAAAAATATCGTTCTTTGGAATTTATACTACTTGCATTATTTTGCTTTGCTCTTAGGTCCTGGATAAAATGCATGCTCGTGGTAGCGGGCCTCGTGTCATGATTACAAGACAGCCTACAGAAGGGAGAAGTCGAAATGGAGGTATAATATTCATCTTCAGCACAGGACATTTACTTTTCGTGGGAAGAGATGCTATGTTCTAACTGTGAAAATTTCCCAGGACTACGTGTGGGAGAGATGGAACGTGATTGTTTGATTGCATATGGGGCGAGCATGTTGATTTTTGAGCGCTTGATGCTTTCTAGTGATCCTTTTGAGGTTCAGGTGTGTAATGAGTCTGCCACTTTGCGCTTTCTTTCTTTTCCTTCTGGAACTCATATCCCTCTGATACTTGTACAAAATTCATGTTTTGTCACAGGTGTGCAGAAAGTGTGGGTTGTTGGGATATTACAACTATAAGCTAAAAACTGGCATTTGTTCAACATGTAAGAATGGGGAAAATATTTCTACCATGAAGTTGCCGTATGCGTGCAAGCTCTTAATTCAGGTAAACTTTGCAAGTTTTTCTCTGAAATCATGCTTTCTATATTCTACTCTTTGCAGGATTATTCACGTGTTATTCTCTGCCTAGAATTGCCTCACACCCGAGGATCAAAATTTCATTTCAGTACATTATTTCGATCATCTAGGAAACATAAATTTTTTGAATATGTAGATTTCAAGTATCCAAAATAACACTCCTTTTCATGAGGTAGATTTCAAGTATCCAAAATATTTTAAAACAGCTCTACATAAGTGATATATGGGCATGTGAGAAAGATAAGCTTTCCTCTAATCTCTGTTGTCACTCATTCATTGGATCACCTTCTTCACCTTTAAGATGATGCTTGACCTCAATAACAGTAGCAACTGGCCTACATCCAACGTGTGTATCTCCTTCAGAAGATCAAGAACATACTTTCACCGATGTAGAAATATACCTTTTCTTAGACGTATTAACTTCTATTGCAAGGAAGTAACGAAACCAACCTAAATCCTTGAGGTCAAACTCCCTGGCTAGATGAGCTTTTGGTTTCAATATCTCTTCCACATCATCACAAGTCACTACGATATCATCAACAACCAACGAGGATTGTAATCTTTCCCGTGACACATTTGATCATAGGGTGTCTGCATGACTCCTGGCATACCAATAATAACCACCTTGTGAAATCTACGATACCATGGCTATGTGATTGTTTTAATTAGTAAAGAGCCTTCTTGTCTAGTTGGATCAGAAACTAGGAGGAATTTTTGTATTTTTACTTCCTCCTCTAGGTCTCTCTGAAAAAAGACATTCTTCATGTCTAATGTGGCTGGTCAAAATATGACTACCCGGAAAGTGTCCATATTAGCAACTGGAGTAATGATCCATGATAGCCTATGCCTTGGGTGTAAGTACACCCCTTAGCAAC